AGAAGAATTTTTTACACAATGCTATGAGTTGAGCTGACGTTTCCATTCAATTTCACATAGCCTTGCTTTCACAAAAGTTGCTCTCATTCAGGCTGAAGGGGGTGGCAGGTCTTGTCAATACACCAAGCGGGGGTCGAAGGATGACAGTGCAGCCTCATTGCCCCGACTGCCCATGGGCCAAAGAGTAGATGATAATTTCAAGAAAGGCCAAGCATTTTCACATATCACATTCTGCGGCGGGATTGTCGATGAAGCAAACTTGTATTTGCTACAGCACTCGACTACACTACTTACTTTTAGTTGGTAAGTAGAGTCTTAGGACTAGCTGTGAATCGCTTATATGAAAAATTATATGAGATAAATCTCGAAATGAAATATAATGTATAATATTTGTAGGTAATTGCAGGCATGATCAATAAACGAATAGTCAAGTCGTCAACTTTGTCTAGACAATTCAGCACCACATTTATTCTAAAGTCCGTCAGCGACGCTCTACTTCTGAGCGAAAAAACTATTCATAAGTCAGTAGGTCTTCGAGACTATCAATAAATCAACTCATACAACTCATATATACGAAAAATGTATATGCATATTTTTTAACACTCTTTCTCTCTCTATCACACACACACACGCACACACACACAATCATAAAATACTTATTAAAAAAAGGGAGTGGGTGTCATTAAATCTCGACGACGAGGTGTTTCGAGGATATGCGGACGCACAAAGGGTACCATTCATGTGTCTCTAAATTGGTGTACGACTGAAATGAACCAAATCTCTTTTTATCTCAAATAAAATGCAAAAAATGTATGCTGTTTACACAATGGGTATTTGAGGCTCGTTAGCCTGAATAAGCTTGTATGAATGCTAGTCTGTTGTGAGTATGTTCATCATGACGTCTCCATCGGAGGCGAAGAAGGTTGCCTCGGGAACAGCGTCAGTCGAGTCTTGTGGTGCGACTGACCTTCGAGACATTGCATCCTACATTCACACTCGAAATGCAAGAAATCTGTCCGCTCGTGAGCCAAGCGATTGTGTGAAAGCCGAGATTGCTGTACATCTCCACCGTGTGCACTGTCGGGAGTCGTGGCCGGCAAGACAGGTCGCTCCGGGCAGATGAGCATGGCTCGCAAATCGTGTCATTTCGTGGTCGTTTTCAGGCCCATCGAGATGGTGCCGAAGAGGTAGACGCAATGTCGTCTGTGCGCCGTCAGTGCTGGTACAGCCGGGCCCAGAAACGAGGGGATCCGACGCCAACTGTCGAATCCCGCATACCGGCCTGCCGGCCGAGATGGATGACCCGCTGTCCGACCAAGTTAATGAACCGACCGAAACGACTGTCAATCCTGTGGAACCACAGCGCATAGAAATTCGCTCATCTCGATTGTGTACTGTGCATTTCACACCTTGTCGGCTCACTCATGCGGCTGGGCGGATCTGCCCAAAAAACTGCTGGCGCGCGTCTAAACTCTGACCGTGAAAAGTGATGAAGCTCCATACCGAAAGGTGACAAAGCTGCAATTCACATCGCATACAAGTATACATACACACACACACACACACAC